TTTATTACTAAGTTAAAAAAGTTACAGGTTGTAGGCAGTGTTAGATAAAAAAAAGTTAAGCTATCTCTAAACTTCTAAGTAAGCTTTAAGGCTAGTAAGTTCTTAGTTCCTACTACTATAATAAGAGTTAAGGCAGAAATAAACTACTTAACAACATAAAGCTATTCTTTAAAGTCCTTTTAAAAAGCTTTTAAGCTTATAACATAGTAGCTTTTTTATAAAGTAAGCACTTTTTAAAAAGCTTTTTAGCTTACTTTAATAGCTTAAAGTTATGTAAGTACTAAGCTTATTAGATTAGATTTAAAAGCTATTCTTAGCTAAAGTTTTAATATAATATAATGTTATAATTATACATAAGTAAGGTTATAGAGCTTTACAAAAGTCTAGTTTAATTACTATGTAAGGTATTATAGTAGGTACAAAACATTATGTAAGAAATAAAAAAGTTTAGAAGGAAATTAGTAATTAAATACTTAGCTTAGAAGTCTAAGCGCTTTAAGTATAAATTAAGCCTGTTCTAAGTTTAGTTAGTGTTAAAGCAGTTTATGCTTAAGTTTATGTCTATGTTGTGTTGTATTTATGTTAGACGTGCACTAATAATACTCTAGTACGCGTCTAATATAGTTATGTCTGGGATCTGGGGAGGATACTGTGACAAGCGCTATAGTTATTTATTATCTTTTATAGGACCTTGCACATAGCTATAGCACATTTTTTTAAGAGTTTTATGTCTTGTTTAAAAGCTTAGAGCGCAAGCTGTATCTAAAATTCTTTTAGCGCGTCTAAGTAGTGTTGTGAGGAATGCATTAGTGTAGGAAGGGTAGTTTAGTAGGGTCTTGGCAAAAGTAAGCGACTCAGGTGTGTGAGCAACTCGCCTGTGAAGTACGTTAAAAACTATAACTTAAACTAAATTAAACACTTTTTAAAGTTAAATATAATTAAATAAAGAATTAATATAATATTATTAATAAAGCTATTACTAGTAAAAGTAAGTTTTTTAATATAATGTAATACTATAGGCAAGATAATAGGTCTAAATGTAGTAGAAATCTACTTAAAGGCATATAAAAGTGTGTAAGAACTTAGAATCTAGGAATTTCTATTAACACCTATAAGCCTTGTATAAAGGATATTAGAAAACTACTAAGCTAGCTAAGAGGAGAGGTGTGACTAAATACTTAGGTAAATAGGGGTAACTGCGGGGGACAGGGTCAAGTTATGGTCGGGGCCGATACAGGGACCCTTCAGATAGGTTCCGAGCAACCTGAGATGGAACGATTCGTGAGAATCGTTACACTAGTGCAGCACAGATGGATTGGGAGCGCGCAGAACCTTTGTTCTACTAAAAGAGTGGCTGGCAATGTTTTTTTTAGGAATCTTTAGGATGTTCCTGTCATATATGTGGATGATACCTAGTCCGGACTTCACTCGGGACCTCTCTGGGTCTGGTGTGGCCCTGGACAGTACCTTCAATACAGACATTCACACCACGCTCTAGGTTATGACCTTGCGAGCTGCATGAAGTTAAAATTTCGCATCGAGGAGTATGAGTTGTTGCTCTATTAATACTATCCTGTACCCCCTTCTGCGCTTCATGGTTCCTGCTTCACAGTGCTCTCACAATTACCATATGACCCCTTCTCAGCTCATGCAAGACTTCTTACTAGAACAGAGCTGTTCACCCACTCCTTAAGTTGTTTTAATATAATAGGCTAATTAATGTTTAGATCCTTAAAGCTCTTGACTAGATCACGTTGCATACAGTCTGTTACTGAAACAGTGATAACGTACTTCACGGGCGAGTTGCTCACACACCCAAGTCGCTTACTTTTGCCAAGACCCCACCCTAGCAAACTCTATTATAGCCTATAACAACCCACTCTAGCACTATATAGTATAGTACAGCCTAGAATATTATTTAGATACTACTTCTACTTCTTACTTACATATTTGCGCGTTATGCCTAGTTTAATTGCACTGTTTATAGCGCCTTTAGGATAGCTTACTTACTTTAGCTTACACCTGCTTCTTTGCCTTCTTCCTATCACTGCGCGCTTTAAACTCTTTTAAAGCTGTTAAGCGTAGGCTTTTCTAAATTATTAAGGTCTTTTCTGCCTTAATCTAATTTTTTTTATGTAATTTATGTTATGTAGTGGCCTTATTAGCTGCTTAAAGCTTAGTAATTTTTTATTACACTAATACTAGCTTATACATAATTATTACTGCCCTCTTTAAGACTTTTTTAAACACTTTAACTATAAAAGTTAGTAAACTATTTATATACTTCTAAATTTTTATCTTTATAAGCATTAATTATAACCTAAGTTTTAAAGTATTACTTAGGGTTTACAACTACTAAGGCTTGTTATATATAGGTAGTAGTAGTAATAAAGTGTGTAACTTTACATTAAGGCCTATTATAACTTATTATAGGTTAAAAGAAACTAATCTAGCGCCTTAGAACTCTTCTTAAATATTACTAAAAGTAATTATAGCATTATAAGCTACTTTAAAGCATAGTAAGAACTTTATTTTTATAATATAAGTAATTTAGTTGCGTATAAGGTTTTTAGCTTAGCACTTATATACTTTCTTTAAAAAAGTAAAACAACCTACATTAAGTAGCTATAAAAGGTGTAATAAATAAAAAAGTATGTAAATAGTAATAATCTTATTACTTTTATAGTATTACTAAAAATAAAGTAAGTTATAGCTTTTATAGCTGTTAATAACTAGCAGATAGTAGCTGCTAACAGTACACTTTTTTATATACATGTAAAAGTGCTTTAACTAGTCTAGACTAAGCTAATTAGTAGTCTAGCTATGCTTAGAGATTATAATAACTTAATTTTAAAGTAGATTTTTCTTTTTATACTAGTTTAAAAGGTAGTTACTACCTTAAAAAATAATAAAAAGCAGAATAGCCTACTTTTTAGCATTAATGCCCTAGAAAGCTGTTGTCTACTCCTAGTTACCTAGCTAGACTGCTTTTAGCTGTCCTTATTTCTTTAAACTTATATCAACTACTCTAGTAGATATCTAGCCTATTATAAACCCTATCTTATTAAAGTTGTATGTGTTGTTATTTTAGATGCTATACTTAGCTTTAATATTCTCTATAAAGTTAAACTAGCCTTAAATTACTATAAAATTCTTATAAAAAGCTTTTTTATAGTTATACTTGCGCTTAAACTTTACTTTAAGCTCTAAGTAACACTTAATAAACATATTAAGCTAGTTTATGCTAATATAGCCTATATTATGCTTAGCGTGTAAAGAATTAGCTATATTAGCCACAGCTGCTAGCTAGGGGGGAAATCCTCGCGCATCTAGCTTAAGTATGTGCTAAATAATTACCTACTTTTTATTATTATCTAGCTTTTATAAGTTAGCTGTATAATTAGCTTAGAAAGGTTTTCTAGCGCGTTAGTTACTTATTATCTTTTAAAGGACCTTATAGATAGCTGCAGCGTGTTGCTTAAAAAGTGTTATGTTTTGTTTAAAAGCCTAGAGTCTAAGCTGCATCTAACGTTTCTTTAACGCATCTAAGTAGTGTTGTTAGGAATGCATTAGTGTAGAAAGGGTGGTGTAGTAGGGTCTTAGCAAAAGTAAGCGACTCAGGTGTGTGAGCAACTCGCCCATGAAGTACGTTATTAGTGTTGTCACACCGCATTTGCCGGCCATGCCTGAACTTCCTTTCTAGAAGCCGTTCAAGCTTAGGCCTAAGGATAGTATCCTAATACCTAATAGAAATTAGGACAATGTCTTGCTCTGTATCCTAATGTACTACCTTGTTATTAAGGACAACCTTCCACATAATTAAGTAGTGGAGGCAGGTGGACACCTCCTCTCTGTAACTATTATGCTTGTCCCTGTCAGATATGCGCACCTACTGTCAAGACAGGAGGAACGTTTGACGAAAGCTGCTACATAGTACGAGCAATAAGCTCGAACAGTATGTTGCTGCAAATTGCTGCATGTTGCAGCATTTTGCAGCATGTTGCAGCATTTTGCAGCATTTTGCAGCATTGTGCAGCATGTTGCAGCAAATTGCAGCAAATTGCAGCATTTTGCAGCATTTTGCAGCATGTTGCAGCAAATTGCAGCATGTTGCAAGCTGGTCGCGCATAGGGCTAGTGCGCGAGGGACTCGGATCGGAAAAACAAAAGCCGAGCAACACGAGTAGAGCAGCAAAAGGATCGATAAACCAATACAATCAATCATCATCCCATACATCACATCCAAACCCATCATTCATCTCAGGAAGCCCAGAAACAGTGCTTCAATCTGACAGTCCCACTCATCTAGTTAAAGGAATCGGAGCCTGTCCGGTCCTAACTGTGTCTGCAGATGGGTAACGTCCCTCGTTTAGTCTGAGAAACCGCGATAGGTGGCTCAGGGGGTCTGTGAGGCGTTAAATGGTGTACCTACAAATTGTGTGTCATCAAGGTAAGTAGCCCTGCTCTTGAGGGCCGAAGAACTCTTGGTTGAAAGAGAAAGGACTCGTCATCACGTCCGTATACCTGATAGCGAGAGGATGATACCAGGTCCACTGTGTCGACAACGGGAGATTTGGTGGAAGGGAAGCCACCAGAGGGAATCGGAGTGGGGGAGGGCCCAAACCGTCTCGATTTTGGGGCCGGTACCTCCGAAAAAAGCCATCCAATCAGCAACCCCCCTACTCGCCGGGCCGCACCGCAACGACGTTGACCAGAAAGAACATCGCGTGCAGTCAGGAAGGAACTAAAACTCCATCCAAATATTAGGTTGAAACGTATCTTAATAGAAATTAGGCACGAAAGAGATGTGTGCATATGAGTTTTGCTTTACAGTCGCTAGCGAAACCGGCTTCCCCTCGAATGCGGCTGCAGCACAGCACAGCTCGCGAACAGAAGTCTTGGCACACCACCTTACATAGTTATCTGGTAAAGCGCCACTGCTTTGTGCACGTGATATGCCACGGTACAAGAGGGTACTTCTCTGTCACAGTTTGAGCTTACAACCCTATGGCAGGAGCGGGTCGGCTGTCCTCCCTGCTGGCGTGGTCAAGGTGTTCTTCTACCTTTATACCATTGCTTGTTACCCTCTATTCCACCGCAGATCTACAAATGAGCGGAGATAGACTGTGGAAAGAAAGATCGGAACCAAGGTTCCCCATCCTAGGAGACGGGCGATGGTAAAGACAGTTACACAAGGAATTCGGTTCCCTTCATCCTCGGCATTACCACCAAATCCCTAATATCATCATGCCTTACAACCCACGCCAGAAATCTCTCAATGCCCATCCCCCAACCCGTCGTCCTCATCTCCTTTTGGTCTCTCATATCCAAATACCACTTATACGGCTCCTCTAGTACCTCATGCTGCTTTAGCGCATTCCTCACCTCCTCAGAGCTTACATGTCGCTCGCCCAAGCCAAGCACCTCGCCGTTCCCAAGGAGGAGATCGGCACAGCGAGCTTTGCTGTGAGAGGTGGAATGTATATAGGCTTGGTAGAAAGGGACGCTGAGGTGGTCCATTTCGGTCAGCCAGGCTGCACCGCCCAAGTGCTGAATCAATTTTTGTTCGCCGGCGCGGGTTATCGTGCGACCGTGGGCTTTGTTATCGGGGACGACGTATTTCCAGCATGTTTGGTCCATCTCAGGGAGGCTGAGGGCTTCTTCGAGCGTGATGCGGGGAAGTTTCTGATCGTGTCGTCGGTAGAGCTCTAGGAAGTCGGTGAGGTGTTCAATCGTGCCAACTGATGCCTCGATGGTATCGCTTTGGTCTCGAAGGAGTGCAGAGATGACGCTCACCAGATACCGCTCTGCTACGGATATGCCTTCGTCGAAATCACCAGCGAGCTCGCATTCCACATGGTAAAATTGGTTCAAATGCATGGCATCAGAATCCTCGCCTCGGAAAGAAGTGTTGATATAGTAAACTCCATCCAAACCATCTTCTATGCGAAGGGAATACTCTAGCGCAAATTGCATAGAGTCTGCGAGATATGTCTTCTGACCTAGCAACGTTATGGGTACAGGCTGGGAGTCGGAGCATAGACCCATAGCAGAGCTTATTGCGTTGGTAGTGGCTGGGACAAAAGCGTACTTGTAATTAACGCCTAGCTTGAAGAAACCGACGGACGAGTGGAAGAGCGAATCTTGAATTGTGAAGAGGTTTTCATACCATGATTCTGACAGAACAACAGTTGCGTGCTCCCGGGGACTCTTCCAAGACTGAGGCGGCTGGATGCGTTCGCAGTGGATAATTTTCCGAAGAGAGGACGCATCGAGTACTAAGGACTCTTGGTCTTGGAAAAGAGGACCGTTCAGAGAGGTGACATATCCCCGATATCCCTCTTCGTATGGTGCCATCTCGGTTGTAGGACCAGACTCTAGTGACTGACTATAAACTTCGCGGCTGTGGATAGGAATGAGTTTGACATGGGCATAGTCAATCTCAAAGCCTTCGAATATCATGCCACAGCGCGGTACTCCAAATGCTTTCATCAGATAACCAGCGAGAGTATAACTGGCATCCATAAGGTTTGCGTAATTAGTGTCTTCAATGCTGAAAATGTCGCTTGTAAGATGTTCGCGGGGCACAAGCACCGTGAAACCAGGCGTGTTCGCAAAGGGCGTGAGAAACGCGACATGTTCCCTGTCTTCCCATACGCGTGACTGAGGGAGCTCCCCGCGGACAAGCCTGGCGAAAAGATTACTGTCCCTATGATCGCCTTTGAAGTAATGATTCAAAGGCTCCTTGAGTCCGGTCTCTCGCCGAATCGTGGCAGTGATTTGAGCCAATCTCCCAGAATCCATGGTCGGTCCGTCCTTGGAGGAAATATAGCCTGGGTATGTTTCTTGGAACTCTTTCTCATGACTAGTCACAGGCTTCCATGATTTTTCCAAGCCATGCAGTGGAACGATCGAGATCGAACCATTACCTTCAGTAACAAGCGCACAGCGTCCGACATTGTAGAAGTCGCGAAGTGCATGCGCAAGGTGCTTTACTCTGGACATAACCTCAAGAAAGTCCTGTCGATCAAGTGAAAATAGATGCACGCCTAGTTGCTCGAGAATTACTAGAGATTCCCCTCGAGTAGTGGGATAGCGCGACAGACCGGCGACAATTCGCCGGTTGCGGAAGAATACATGCTGGGGTAACACCGGAGATGTGGTACAACTCATATCCACGGTGGACTGATGATTGGAGGATGCTGAAGCTGTCGACAAGAGTCGAGCTGTCGATTGTACGGAGAACTTTCCTTGGTCGTCCAGTGCTACGACTGCGCAAGGCTTTCCTATAAGGGCGAACTGCGAAACGGCGCGACGAGTAGCGTTCTCAATATCGAAGCCGCGGGAATACTGGTTTGCAACTTTGGTAGCGAGTAGTTGCCGGAATATCTCGTCGCCCGCCATCGGCAGTATTGCCTACTAGCATGCAGTGCACTCCATGCTGGAGGATGGCATTTGCAGCGAGGATAGGGTTCTTTGTCGTCGTTAGGCAAGACACCGCACCATACAAGCCTGAACGACCGTCAACCAGTCCCGCCTCGAGCTTTTCATACGAATCAGTACAATGCATGCCCTGGGGTGTGTAGATTACCTCGTGGTCGCCTTCGATGGTCAGTGCAGCCCCTTTTCCGGCGTTAAATAGCGGGCAGTCTTCCAAGGCTGCCACTGCGTTGACGACCACCTCTCTGGCTGTGACACCTGCTTTGAGCGCAGCAACAGCAGTGTCAAGGACTGGCACAAGATTTCGCCGGATTTCTCGCTGCGTTTCGACGTCGGGGCAGCTATTGCTGCAGCCTCTTTGGAGAATTACAGACAGCTTTGAGATTGCGACATTGCGGGATTCCGAGCTACTGTGTCGGTGCACGGACCCCCACTGCTGTGATTCCGCATCAAAGAGGAATTTAACGTTTTGGATCAACGCAGCAGTTCTTCTGATTTGGTTATAGACAACTCAAAGGTACAGTCCCTAATCAAGCGTACATCAGTGAAGGGATATACTAATGTCGTGCGACCCCCAGAATACGAAGTGGCAGCGAGCCTTCTTGCATGAGCTGAGGAGGGGTCATATGGGAAGCGAGTCGACAAGGTAGTGAGATCCAAACAAAGTGGATTGCACGAGTGTATTGTAAGGTCTAAGGAGCTCGATAGAGCTCTGGGCTGACTATATACTGTACGAGAGAGCGGCTATGCCTAATGAGTGAATAGTGCGGTACATGGGTATGATATCGCGTGAGACACGTGCGACAAGCCTGACCAGTCGAGCCGACCTGCCACCTCGGCCGGTCCGGTAGCAAACATCCACCCAAACATCTTTCTTGCTAGCGTGGTTGCCCTTCAGACGTCCTTCGATATATAACCCTTCGTCATTCGCTGCCTCTATCTGCTCCTGTCTTAATCCGGAACCTTTGGCACCCAGCTTTACACTTGCACATTTCTCATACTGCGGCAACATGAGCGCCTCAGAATCGAGACTCGCGTGGCCCCTCATCTGGATCAATGGTTTCCCTGGTACAGGCAAACATACGATTGCAAAGTTCTTCGCGACCCTCCTAGACGAGGGTGACCCTCTATTAATTGACAACCACAGTTTAATCGACCCGGTGGAGGCAAAATTCTCGCGAGATCATCCAAACTACCAACAGGAAAGGCGCCGGGGGAGAGAGGCCGTGTTCAAGAGTTTTGTGGAAGATCCAGCCTTTCGGACCCGCATCGTTATCTTCACCGGTGAGCAAAACCAGCCGCCTTTAACCTTTCTTTTACCCATCTCTGATTCAGATTCGTATTTGATCATAGATTTCCAATCCAATAATGATCTTGGCCGTGACGTGGCAAGGGAATACGAGGCAGCAGCGTTACGGGCCAGACGTCCTTTCTTGCCTGTTTACCTCGAGTGCGACATCAAAGAAAATACACGCAGAATAACAAGTCTACAACGGGGAAGCAGTGGGACTACAAAGCTCTTAAACCCTAAGGTTCTTGCAGAAATGCGATCCAGGTGCCAACTCTTTCGTTTCGATGGTGTCGAGGGTATCACTTCTGATGTGACGAATATGGGACCAGAAGAAGCGGCTGAAGCCCTGGCAAGAGAGGTAACGACAATTATCAATGACTTAGTTAAACACCGGAAATAAAAGGTCCCAAGGTTGCCAGCTGCGTCATATCACGACAACAATCCACGCTACATTCTTGCATAAGTGGCGCTTCTCGCGCATCAAAGCCTGCCCCAAACCTCCCAGTTCCAAAACTCAAAAGCGCGGTAGGGAGTTTAGAAAGTAAGTTGTGGCGTGATAGAGAGAAGCGGCGGCGGTGGCGGTGGTCTCTAGGGTACATTACACCGCATCTTTCCTAAGATCGTTGGAATGCGAAGTAACATGAACAATGCTTAAGCTTAAGCCTAATAGTGTTTTAAGGTAATTAATAGACCACCGCCGCTAGCAGGGAGGCGGCCGACCCACTCCGGCCACAGGGTTGTGAGCTTAAACTTACGGTCCATACTCATACGGTGCGTGGCCGTAATAGAAAACACACACACGTGAGCTTAAACTGTGATAGAGATTAGAGAAGTACCCTCTCGTACGGTGGCAAATCACGTGCTCAAACCAGTGGCGCTTTACTAGATATGTAAGGTGGGGTGCTAAGACTTTTTTTGCGAGCGGGTTTGCAGCCGCATTCGAGGGGGAAGCCGGTTTCGCTAGCGACTATATGTAATGGTAAAAATTGGAGAATACATCATTCACAACCTATATTTCAGCTAAGCTAGTGTTGCTGCGAAAACTAGTGACTATTACGCTATCGTCTGAATTATCTTTCTGCCTCGTCTACGCATGAGCAGCTTGCGAAACCCAACAACCGTCCGACTTCCGCCGCCTAAATTCACGCGCGACGCTAATACGGAAAGGTGCCGTAGCGAAAATTACACTTGGGGAATAAGCAATGGGGAGTAATTCTATCTACACTGAGCTAGCTCAACAGAGGTAAGGTTTCCGCTCCCACAGAGCAGGGGCCTTGACGAGTTAAAGTCGAGTACCCCATACACCCGGAAGCCGAACCTTCACAAGGCTGTACGTAGGACGAGTCCGTGCCGGATAACACATGAATGGCCAATTCTCACCGACGGTACCCTGTGCCTTTAGGTGATTAGTCCGCGGGGCTTCACTCACCTCTTATGGCACGCCCGACACCATCTCCGAGCTGTCGGCTGCCAGCTTCCAGGCACCAGGCCCCCATGTTTTCCCTTCCTCCGCAGCTGCCGCTAGCACAGGATGAGCGAGCATCTTGCGAGAGAGGGGGAGAGAACTTCAGATGGAGAAGCAAAGAGTGCTCAAGTGCGAGAGAGCGCGAGAAAATGAGAGAATGGAAAGCCGGTTGGCTGCTAAATGCTTGCGGATGCGAGCGCACAAGCAGCTGCAGCAGTAACCATCACTGGAGATGAGGAGCTGGGCCGCACAGTCCGCACAGCGGTGAAATGAGAGGCACGACGAAGGCAGTGCGGTGTTGGACGGCGACGGAGATTCGAGAAAAATGCCTCACAAGGGATTGCTGAGGCCCAATGGGAGCAGCTGGCGCTGGTGGGGGGTTTGGGGGCTGGGGGATGGGAGTAGAGAGAAAAGGTCGAGGAGAGGGAGGGGAAATGACGGCGGAGGGAGGGCCTTTTATGGCGGACGTCCAGGTCGATTGCCGGTTCGGGCGTAGCGCGAAGGCGCAAGCGAGGCCCGGGTTGCCTGAACAGGGTGCGTCCATTTCCCGATGCGGGCTCGCCGCCTAGTTGTTTACTTATTTTCTTTTCTTTCTTCTCTCTTTCCTCCCCTCTAGGCTCTTTCTAAGCCCTCTCTACCTTGTTCTTAGCTGCCTAAGAGCGCTGCAATGCTTACCTAAAAGTTAAACACTAGGGCTTTTAGAGCTAAAACCTGTTAGAGCAGCTTAGTACTTGTTACGACTGTGTGGATGTCACGATTGTGCACGAGTAAGGTTATAGAGCTTCACAGAGGTCTAGTTCAATTACTACGTGAGGTATCATAGTAGGTACAAGACGTTGTGTAAGGAACAGAAAGGTTTAAAAGAAAATTAGTAATTAAATACTTAGCTTAAAAGTCTAAGCGCTTTAAGTATAAATTAAGCCTGTTCTAAGTTTAGTTAGTGTTAAAGCAGTTTATGCTTAAGTTTATGTCTATGTTATGTTATATTTATGTTAGACGTGCACTAATAATACTCTAGTACGCGTCTAATACAGTTATGTCTAGGATCTAGGGAGGATACTGTAACAGTACCCCCCCCCTTATTAGGAAGGGAATCCTTTACATTAGTAGTTCTAGCATTAAGTTGTCTTTATTAAAGTACAAGTTTAGTTTAGATAGGTATTAGGCGTAGAATTAGGTTACTATAGAGTTCTCTTATAAAGCTTCTGCAGGTTCCTATAACAGTTTGTTATATCTAGTCTATTTTATAAAGTATTTATAAATATGTTTCTTTTTATTAAACTAGATCTATTTAATGTCTTCTACAACATATTCTAGTTTATTATTTATAATAATAGGTTTAGGTAGTAAGTTTAGCTGTCTAGGTAGATAGTTAGATTTAGGGGCTACTTAGCGCAGCAATAATACATAGAACACAGGGTGTATCTTCATGCTATTAGGTAGGATTAATTAGTAAGTGTGTAATAAGACTATATAAGCTACTATAAAAAGGCTAAAGTTCTTCTAATTAAGTTTCTTTAATTATTAGTTTATTTAAATATTTCTAGCATTTAGCTAGACCTTCTTACTAGCTGCATACACAGGGGTAAAAGTTTAGAATTAGTTTATATACTTTTGTTAAAAAGCTTAAGCCTATGTAAGCTTTTTATAAACATATTTAAATATGTTTTAAATTTTATTAATAAGTCTATTTATGTTTATTACTTATATAAATTAATAAGTTAGTTAAAAGGTATTTATAAGTAGTTTAAATTCTATTTAGAGGTAGTATTTATAGTTTACTAAGAATAAAGATACTTATGTTAATTTAAATATTATGTTATTAGCTTTAAACTATGCTATAGCTAACTATTTTACCTAGTTATTTTACTAGTAGTTTATATACACTTATAGAACTTATTTTATTACAGTGTTTATGTTCTTAGTTTAGCTGTTAGTCTCTAGGTAAAAAGCTGTAGATAGATAGAGAATAATTTAGAGCTATTTACAGAGTTTGTCCTAGAAGGCTAAGACAAACTATGTACCTCTGTTTAATATAATTATGTTAGGCAGGCTATAGTAAACCTATACGTATTAGTAGAATAACTAGGCTATATTAGAGGCAGTTATAAAGGAACATAGTATTAAGTGTTAATACTTAGTTAAGTAATTAATAACTACTATAATATTTATATACTCTTTAGATAAAAGTAGGTTTATAATAAAATTAATTAATATATTTTTTTAAGCTTATTTAAGAATTAGAAGTAGTTTAAGTAGGCTATTATACTTTTTTTAAGAGGCCTTTACTTTACAGTAAGTATAGCAACATAATATATATTAGTGTACAGTATAGAACATGCGGGGCTAGTAGTACTCTCTCTATAGTAGGTTAAGAGTCTTTTCTCTGCCTAGGTGTCCTTTAACAAGTAAGTTTTATATAATTTAAAGTAGTTTAATTCTTAGTTTGTTAAAATTAGAGATTATAAGTTAGTTATAGTAATATAGCTTACTATTTTAGTTTTTATAGTTAGCTAGTGTTACCTTCTTTAACTAACTAGCGCTGTTTTAGAGTAGGTCTAAAGTTTTTTAAATAAATTTATTATTTAAATACTTATTAGTAATAATCTAATTAATTATCTAATTTATTTTATTTAGGTTAAGGTCTAAAAATAGCTTAGGTTAAAGTAGAGTTTAGTATTAAGCCTTTTATACTTCTTTTTAAGTAAGGACATTTTAGAATTACTTTATAAAAGCATCTAGTTTCCCTTTATTTTAACTAGAATAATAAGTAATCTTAAAATTAAAATAAAATAAGTATTTAAACTAATAAGCTTATTAGTAGCTAAGTTATTTTATAGTTGTAAAGTACTATAAGTTCTTGTAGTTAGATAGAACCTGTATTAAATGCGCTACACCTTCTAGTTTAGGTTACTATTGTTTAAAGTAGTGTACTATAGTAAGTAATTTTTTATTATAAATCTTATAATTGCCTTCTGCAGGACTTATTTTTTTTAAGAAGTATGCAATAGGCTTAATAGTCTAATCTAGCTTAGTCTAGAAGAGAACTCCTGCTACTATGTAGTCTAAGGCATTAGCTTCTACAAGTATTAGTAGTTTAAAGTTAAAGTAGTAGAGTATTAAGGCTTTAGTAAAAGCTTTTTTTAGCTAGTTAAAAGACTATTAGTAATTTAAGTTAAAGTTAAATTAGACCTTTTTCTTAGTAAGTGTAATTATAAGGCTTACTAGCTGTAAAAAGTTGTTAATAAATTATTAGTAAAAGTTAGCAAATTTTATAAAGGCTTAAATATTCTTTATGTTTTTTAGGTATTACTAATTTAGCATAGTCTAAACCTTAATAAAGTTTATTTAAATGCTATCTATAAAGATTACATATCTTAAATATGTAACCTTTAATTAGTAGAACTTGCATTTATCTATGTTAAGTTACAGACCTACTTCTTTTATAGCCTTTAGCACTAAGCGTACATGCTGTTTATGCTCTAAAAGGCTATTGCTGTAGATTAGAATATTATTAATATACACAGTGCAGAACACGTCTAGGTAGGGTTAAAGTAAGTTGTTTATAAAATATTAAAAAGTACTAGGCGTGTTAGCTAAGCTAAAGGGCATTACTAAGTACTTAAATAGTTTATATTAAGTCTAAAACACTATTAGCTACTTATTACCCTTTACTATCTTTAGCTTATTAAAGGCAGTAATAATATCTAACTTTATAAAATACTTTACTTTACTTAGTTAGCTTAAAGTTTCTTATAAAAAAGAAATTAAGTATTAGTTTTTAATAGTAACAGCATTTAGTCCTTAGTAGTTAATGTAAAATTAAAGCCTACTCCTAGGTTTTTTTATAAATAGTATAAGTAATACTACTAGTAAGAAGCTAGCTTAAATAAACTTTTTTTCTAAGTTTTTATTAAAGTATTTTTAGAGCACTTTTAATTTATTTAGTAACATCTTATATAGTAGCTTATAACTAGGTTGTTTACTAGGCTTAAGAGTTATCTAGTAATTATATAGATGTTATATTAAAAGCTTATTAAACTTATCTTAGAAAAAGACATATAATAAGTTATAGTAGTTTTAAGAGACTATTATCTTTAAGTTAGTGTGTTTTTAAGGAGCTAAAGCTTAGTCTATATTAGAAATTATAACTACATAGATTTTATAATCTAGTTATTAAGCTAGAGTTATAAATAGGGCAGGTTCTATGTAGCAGATGTCTATCTACTGTTTAAGTCCTAGTTTATGTTTAAATTAAGTAAGTAGAAGTTCTTTAAAGGCTTTCTTTTTTTTAAGTTTAGGTAGTTATTAAATTATTTTATATAGCTTATTTTAGTAAAAGGCTTAGCTTGTTAGCCTTACTTAAGTAGTTTTTCTTTAGGTTATTAGAAAGTAGGTCTAGAGACCTTTTATATTAAGTGCTATTTAGGTGTTATTTAGGTGTAAGCGTAAGTATATATTTTAGTATTAAAAAAAGTTAAAGTTTAAAACTTACTCTTAGTAATTAAAGGTAACTTTATGCTAATACAGCTATAGTTATTCTAAGATTAGGTTATAATGTTCTATGTTTATTACATAAAGCTTAATCTACTTCTTATAGTGTTAGTAGGTAATTGTAATAGTTATAGTATAAAAAATAAAACTTTTTTTAAGTTATTTTTTATTAAATCTAGTTAAGTAAATTATTTAAGTAAGTAGTGTTAATTAAAGATTTAGTTTACACGCTAGTTCTTTATTAATGTAACTTATGCTATTTACTTCTAAGTTAATAAGAGCCTATATTAAAGCTAATATAGTTTTTTATTATAAACATATAAAAATATTAACTTAGTACTTTTAGTTGTTAGTAAGGGACTTAGCCTATAAGTTAGCAGAGATCTAGTGTTAAATTAGTCCTAAAGGGCAACTTAGCCCTAAGATAAGCCTTTTTATAGGCTTTTACTGCTATAGCTGCAGCTATGTTAAGAGTAGCAAAAGGGATTAAAGCTTAAATATAAGTTAGAGCTCTTATAAAAATAAGATTAAAATAGTAAAAATCTTTAATAAGTACTAGCAGCACTACTTATATAGACTTAAAAAAAAGGAATAAAGTAGTTTTAAAAAATATAACTATACTTACTACACTTAAAGTATTAACTTTTTTTTTTATAATTTTTACGCTTTTTAAAACTAACTAAAGCATAATTTAAATTAATTTTTATTACATTAAAGTTCTTATTTATAACTGCGCTAGTTTAGAGGCGTATTAGGGCTTATATAGAGAGGAACCTTATGTTATTATTATAGGTAGTAATTAAGTTTACATACGCGTTAAGGTTGTTTAGAAGGGGTTCTTCTACTATAGCACATTACAGTTTAGTTAAAAGGGAGTTATATAAAGCTATAATTAGACTTATTTTATTTAGGCCTATATTAGATGCAAGTTAGTAGAACTTAGTAAAGTATAAAGTAAAGCTTTTTTTTTTTTATTATAAAGTATTTAGGTAACTTAGGGCTATTAACTTTTTATTTAAGTTTTTATAAGTTGCTTACAGAAATGCTATAAATTAATCTAGGTTAATAATATTTTTATTTATTAGTAAGTTAATTAAGGCTGTTATATTATAGTTAAGTTAAAAGTAAGCATATAGTAACTAAGAGTATTTAAAGGGAAATTAGTCTATGTTTCCTTTAAGTTTATATTAGAGCTTATATAAAAAGAAAAGTAGGTTTTTCTATTTTCTATTAAACAGTAGGGGATTAGAGAGTTAGTTAGATTTTATTACTAAGTTAAAAAGGTTATAGGTTGTAAGCAGTGTTAGGTAAAAAAAAGTTAAGCTATCTCTAGACTTCTAGGTAAGCTTTAAGGCTAGTAAGTTCTTAGTTCTTACTACTATAATAAAAGTTAAGGCAGAAATAGACTACTTAATAATGTAAAGCTGTTTTTTAAAGTCCTTTTAAAAAGCTTTAAAGCTTATAATGTAGTAGCTTTTTTATAAAGTAAGTGCTTTTTAGAAGGCTTTTTAGCTTACTTTAATAGCTTAAAGTTATGTAAGTACTAAGCTTATTAAATTAAATTTAGAGGCTATTCTTAGCTAAAGTTTTAATATAATGTAATGTTATAATTATGCACAAGTAAGGTTATAAAGCTTTATAAAAGTCTAGTTTAATTACTACATAAGGTATTATAGTAGGTACAAGACATTATGTAAGAAATAAGAAGGTTTAAAAAGAAATTAGTAATTAAATACTTAGCTTAAAAGTCTAAGCGCTTTAAGTATAAATTAAGCCTGTTTTAAGTTTAGTTAGTGTTAAGGCAGTTTATGCTTAAGTTTATGTCTGTGTTGTGTTGTGTTTGTGTCAGACGTGCACTAATAATACTCTAGTATGCGTCTGATACGGTTATGTCTAGGATCCAGGGAGGATACCGTGACAGTGGATAAGAACAGTCGTACCATAAGCGGGGTAAAGCAGCGGAAGCATAGGACAAGTAATTTGGGTATATGACAAGGTCACGTGACAGAGATGACTAAGGAACTGGATCGCAAGCTAAGGAAAGGATCGCAAGGAATCGCACGCGATCCATCTTGGAACTTGCGAGGCCTACGAGGCCTGGATCGCAGAGATCACAGAGGCTCGCAACTTAGTTGTTGCGAGGCCTGCGAGGCCCTATGATCCACCCTCATGTATATATACCCTGCTTGAAAACAACCTTTAAAAGTTGTTGTTAATCTCTACATTAGATACCAAGTGCTCCCTTAAGACTTATACATCTATTACTCCCTTAAAGATTAGTTTGATTCCCCTGCCTATACCTGGGAATAAGGACAAACCACGTTGCCGCCCCCGCAAACCATACGCAAGCTACAAGAACTGTACACCCTCGTAGACCCGTCACCCTCTTAACCCTCGCCCTCATCCATTCTTCGGCCGTAGTACCACGTGACCGCATCACGAAGTAAGTAACGTAACAGTACTCTAGTAGAATAAGGCTACCTAGGTAGGAAGACTAGCTTTCTAACTCTTTATAACCTACACTACCTACACTAGGCTCTAAGCAGGCTTTAAAATAGCCTTAAAAGCTCTTTTATTATCCTCTTTACTTTTTATATATTAGGCTGCTGCCTATAGCTTAAGATAGCTTTAAATGTCACGGTCGGCATGCTCAAGCTACAAGCAAGAGGTGGTGTAACTCAACTAGATTAAACTAAGGAGCAGAGGAGCTGCTCTGCGAGTTTAAATATACATGTGTGCTCCCTGCCAAGGCGCTACTAGTCGCGCAAGCGAGGGAGCTGAGGCCGCAGAGCATGTGACGCGGTACGCACTGTCACATTAAAGAACTAAAAACTCTTTTTATAATAAAAAAATCTACACGCGTTTTAGTAAACTATACTTAAGTAGTATTAGACTATATTTATATAAAGTTATATTTTTTATTATATAAAGTGTAATACTTACATCTCTTTAATTTTAAAAACTAAAAGATAAATTTAACCTACTAGCTATAAGTAAAAGCGTAGGTAGCCTAAAGGTGGATAACTTAAAACGCCTCTAAAGAGGCTTTACCTTTACTTAATAACTTTAGGTTGTTTTTAAATAAACTTACATAAAATTAACTAAAATAAACAAAAGTAAGCTTTTACAGCATAATATAACACTTTATTATACTACTTAGGCCTATTATTATCTGTTCTATTCTCTAAGTTGTAGGACTACAATAAGAGAGGATAATGTAACGCTAGATGTTCTAGAACAGGCTAGTATAGCCTCACTTAACCTGTTTAGAGGTCACATGACCTGTGCTTTGTATCTAAGCATGAATTCTAACAAGCAAGGCTTGGCAGCGATTTGTCTCTCTTATAATACACTTCTATCTTTCTCTAAAACCTTACTCTTAGTGCTATCTAGGCTATCTACTATTCTATCTTTACATGCTAGAGATAAGTCAGCTTAGTCACTGCGCTCTAGCATCTACTACTTACATATATATATATAATTAGCTTTTTACTTTTTTTATATAATAAACAACTTTATATAGTAGCTTTAAGCTAAGATGTGTAACGGCGCAGGCAAGACAATGGGTCCGAATGCGGTGGGAGTCCACTCAGAGGCATATAGGAGTGCGTGGGGACTCTAAACCTAGGAATGCCATTAACACCTATAGGCTGTATACAAAAGAATATTAGAAAACTACTAAGCTAGCTACAAAAGCAAAGTGCAACTAAATACATAAAAGAATAAAGGTAACAGCAGAGAGTAGAGCAGAGTTAGGGCTAGGTTAAGTTAGGGTTAAGCTAAGGTTAGAGCTAATATAGAGACCCTTTAGATAGGTTCTAGGCAACCTAAAATAGAACAAGAATTGTTACACTACCTCCCCCTCTATAGACTAAGCGTCCTTATTAGTAGTAATTATAGTATAAAGTATTACTATTATGTTCTTTGCCTTTTTAAACTAAAACTAGTCTAATTTAGCTAGGTGTCCTTGCTAAGTATTCTTTTACACTGCTAGCAGTGTCCTCTAAACTAAACGCTATGTGTGCGCGCCTACTCTAATAGTAATCTATAGATGTCTAGCCTATTAATAATTAAAACCTTTATTTATTACTATCTATGCAGTTATTAATCTTAGGCGTGCGTTTAGTAAGGTGACATTTAGGTATTATTAAAGGTGCCTAAATAGTCTCTTGCTATTAGAGTAGTAGAAGTAATTTAAGGCATTATTAGAGGTAATTTAGTAGTTGCTTAGTAGTGTTTTAGTAGATTAGCTGCTTAAGCTATGCTTATAATTAAGTATAAATATACTACTAAAGGTTAACTTTAAATTAGGTAGGTCTAGCTTTAGGTTTTACAGACGCAGGTTTAGCTGTTAATAAAGTAGTAGTTAGTAGTTAGAGGTTAGTAGTTAAAAGTTAGGCATTAGTAGTTATCTTTAATTCTAATAAGTTATTAGTAGTTTCTAAGTTTTTACCTTAGCATATTTTTATAACTTTTTTAAAGGTAATTTTAATTATAAGAGATAAGAAGTTTTAAACCTAAAGGCTTTAGTTAACTAAAGGTTAATAAAATCTAGTCTATAAACTAAATAGTTTAATATAATAGTGTGTAAGTATTATAACTTAAACTAAATTAGACATGTCTTAAAGCTTAAATGTAGTTATATAAATAATTAGTATAATATTATAATAAAGCTGTTACTAGTAAAAGTAAGTTTTCTAATATAATGTAATAGCACAGGCAAGACAATAGGTTTAAATGCAGTAAGAGTCTACTTAGAGGCATATAGGAGTGCGTAGGGACTCTAAACCTAGGAATGCTATTAACACTTATAGGCCTTATATAAAAGAATATTAGAAAACTACTAAGCTAGCTACAAAGGTAAGGTGCAACTAAATACATAAAGAAATAGGGGTAACAGCAGAGGGTAGAGCAGAGTTAGGGCTAGGTTGAGTTAGGGTTGAGCCAGGGTCGGAGCCGATACAGGGACCCTTCGGATGGGTTCCGGGCGACCTAAGATGGAACGAGAATTGTTACAAGATGTAGGCTTTATAAGCTAATTTTTAGTAAAAGGTTTAAAGCTTATGCGCTAAAAACTAAGCACTATAAGCTATACTTACTATTACTACTACTTTTTATCTAAAGCTAGTTCTTCTTCTACTAACTAAATTTAATAGTAAGCTATATAAATTTAAAACCCAGCTACTAACTATTAATGCTAAAATAGTAGTAGATAGTAATATAATTAAAAATAACACAGGTTAATGTTACTTTATATACAACAACCTTAAGCTGATAGTATAAGCTACTATACTACTGCTGCTATTAAATGCCTAAGAATAAAGTTAATAAGACTATTATTAAATAGGCTCTGACAGCTAGCTGCTTATAGTATAAGCACTTAAGTAGCAAGAGTAAGAGTGGTGTACAGTGTGCACAGCATACAAGGTAGGTAAAGTAAGGGCAACATGTTTCTAGTTCTATTACTCTTGTCTTTTCTTTATATAGAGGAAAAGGGGGATATCTAGATGTTTGCGCACAGAGGTTCACGCACAAGCATTATATAACATAGATACATGATCCTGCTTGTGCGCAATTGCTTGTATCTAGGCTGCAACACTACTACTGTGTATAGACACTAGCAACTTTTCTTTTTATCTAAAAAGTTGCCTTCTGTACGCGTTACCTCTCTTCTGTCTGTGTAGGTCTATCTAATTATGTTCTACTTTTACTCTACCCCTATTTATTAGGACTTGCCTTAGTAATGCTGTGTGTTAGAATAGGCTAGTTATGCTATGTAAATAGCTTTTCTTTTCTTTATTCTTTACTTTCTAAGCCTTACTATACAATCCCCTAGCTCTTTTCTCTTTTTATATAGTGCTAGCAGTAACAGATCCTTATAATAAGAAAGATAAGTATGTATAATATAAAAAAAACAAAATAAAGAGAAATAAGCCTTATATAAAGGTGTTATTAGTCTAGTTAGTCTAAGGCATCTTTGCGCACAAGATCTAGCTAGTCTACAGATGCTTCTATCTAGACAAAGAGGCAGTTAGTTAGGACTAATAATTAAAGAGCTTAGTTTAGTGTTTTCTTTATACATACATTTACTAAGTTATTTTTACTATTAATTTACTTTATTTTAGCAATTTCCCTTTTCTTATATAATTTATAGAGTAACATAATGTTAATTATAAGTTACTTTTTGCTAGTAGTGCCTAGCTTAATAAGGTAATTATATAGAAACCTTAAATTTATATAAATTACTACTAGAATTAGTAGTAGTTTAAGTGTTTATATAATTTACTATAAAGTTATACTAAGTATAATTACATTATTAAACTTTTTAACTATTTTATATAGTTTACTAGTAAGGACACTCTTAGTTACTTTTTTATACTTAGTAGAATTCTAGTGTATAATATTACCTAGTATTTTAAAGTAGTTGCTTTACTTTATATAGTCTTTATTACTTAATATAATTAAAAATCTTAGCTATAAGCTAAAGTCTTTATTATTAGTAAATAATTTATTTATAAAGATAAATAGCTTTACATAATTAAGCTATAATAGTAGAAAGGTAAGACTACACTTACTATTATCTATCTACTATTAAATTTATGCGTTAAGTGTGTTAATGTTATTATGCAAAAAGTCTATAGTTTATGCAGTAATAAACAGGTTAAATGCTGCCTCTAGTTAACATATAAATGCAATATATGCCCCTCTTACATATTACTTAATATATTATTATGCAGCATCTTTGTTTTTTAGGTTAATTATATAAAGGTAGCTTACTTATCTCTTCTAAGTAAAGACTATTATGTTATGTGTAAGTTTAATTCTTCTACTATTAAACTTAATAAGCTGCTTTTTTACTAAAATAGTTTTACTTTTTATATAAAACTTTACTTTTTATAGTTTTTTCTCTTTTCTTTATATAAAATTCTTTATTATAATGCTTAAAGTGTTGTCTATTTATAAGCTAGTAATACTAAAAGTGTGCTCTTCTTTATTAGTAATTAAGAGGTAGGGGTTGTATAAAAAAATGTGCATGCGTAGCTTTTTTTTATAGTAGTTATAGTATGTTTTAAACTAATACAGTTCTAATTTAGCAGCTTTATATAAGAGTTGTATAACCTAGAGTATTGTATTTAGTAGAAAGCTCTAGCGCATCTCTTTTAGTAGCTTTATATACAGTGTGCGCATAAGCTTATTTATTAATTAGATGTATACTTATGTAATATTACATAGTTTAAAATGCATTTTGTACATAGCTTTTAGGCTTACTCTTATAGCTAAAAGTAGTCTCTAGCTTATCCTCTAAATAGTTAGTAACTAAGTAAGAATTTTTTCTTTCTTTTTATCTAAGTAGCTAGTAAACACTAGGTAGGATTTTTTATATAGTTAAGTTGTTTTACCTTTTACTTCTTATATAAAGTAAAGGTTAAAAATCTA